CTGAGTCCCCTCCGGCTGCTGAGTCTAGCCAGGTAGCTGCGTCGAGTCAGGTGTTTGCTGCAGCGTCCAGGTCTGGTCCTGAGTCTGCTCCCTGCTCGTGCCGTCTCCCGTCCCACCAGACTCTCCTTTGGCACCACCGCCTTGGTCACCCCTCCTTGCATCGTCTCCGAGGCATGGCCTCCCGTGTCCTTGTCTCTGGTCTCCCCCGGTCTCTCCCTCCCCTACCTCCGGGGCCTGCCCCTACCTGCGTCCCCTGCGTCGAGGGGCGACAGCACGCCGCCACTCACTCCTCCGTGTTTCCTCCGACAGAGGCTCCGCTCAGACTCTTCACATGGACGTGTGGGGCCCCGCCCGCGTCCGTGGACAGGGGCACGAGCGTTACTTCCTGTTGGTGGTTGACGACTTCTCGCGTTACACCACAGTCTTCCCCTTGCGCAGCAAGGGTGACGTCACTGAGGTGTTGATCGATTGGATCCGCGCAGCTCGTCTCCAGCTCAGAGAGAGTTTCGGCTCGGACTTTCCTGTTCTGCGTCTGCACTCTGACAGAGGCGGGGAGTTTTCCTCTGCCCGTCAGGGAGCCTTCTGTTGAGCACAGGGCATCCGCCAGACCTTCATGCTTCTGGCCTCTCCACAGCAAAATGGGATTGCTGAGCGCCGCATTGGCATGGTCATGGACGTCGCTCGTACGTCCATGATCCATGCGGCTGCCCCCCATTTTGTGTGGCCGTTTGCGGTTCAGTACGCAGCGCATCAGCTCAACCTTCAGCCCCGGGTCTCCTTGCCAGAGACCTCCCCCACCTTGCGGTGGACGGGGAAGGTTGGCGATGCGTCTGCGTTTCAGGTCTGGGGATCTCGGGCGTTTGTCCGCGACTTGTCTGCGGACAAGCTGTCCCCCCGTGCTGTTCCCTGCGTCTTCCTTGGCTTCCCCCCTGACGCATCTGGGTGGCAGTTTTACCACCCCACCTCGCGCCGTGTTCTGTCCTCCCAGGACGTCACCTTTGACGAGTCGGTGCCTTACTACCGTCTCTTCCCCTACCGCACTGCGCCCCTCCCCCCGCCGCCGCTCTTCCTTGCGCCAGGTCCTCCCCCGGTAGACCCCCTCCCCCCTCAGGGTCCTGCCCCGTCAGGTGTGTCCCAGGTAGATGCAGTCGAGCCTGTCGAGGTAGCTGTTGACTCTGGTGCTGCTAGAGGTGCTGAGCCTGCGGGTGCCGGGTCTGGAGGTGCTGAGACTGGGGGTGCTGAGTCTGGGGGTGCTGAGCCTGGGGGTGCTGGGTCTGGGGGTGCTGAGCCTGGGGGTGCGGAGCCTTGGGGTGCGGAGCCTGGGGGCGCTGGGTCTGCTAGTGTGACCGCCAGCGGTGCTCCGTCGAGGCGGGAGCCACTCTCTCCACAGGAGCTGCGCGAGTGGTTTGCCCGCCGATGGAGACGTGCTGCTGGAGCTGGAGGTACTACTGTTGCTGCTGGTCCCGGAGGTGCTCGTACTGGCGGTCCTGGAGTTGCTGGGACTGGGGGTGCTACTGGGGCTACTGGAGTTGGTCCTGCTGGAGCTGCTGGCGGTGCTGGTGCTGCTGGAGTTGGAGCTGCTGGGGGTGTTGGAGCTGGTGTTTCTACTGGCGCTGGTGCGTCTGGGGGTGCTGCTGAGGCTGCTGGAGCTGACGGTCCTACTGGAGTTGGTGCTGCTGGAGCTGGAGGTGCTGGAGCTGGAGCTACTGGGGGTGTTGGCGCTGGCGGTGCTGCTGGCGCTAGTGCTTCTGAGGGTGCTGGAGTTGGCGCTGTTGGAGCTGGAGGTGCTGCTAGCGCTGGTGCTGCCGCTGGGGGTACTGGTGCTGTCCTTGCTGATTCTAGAGGCGCTGCACGGCCGAGGCCGTACTTCGTTCCGCTCCTGGAGCAGGTTCTTGGTCTCCCGCCCTCTACTGGTCCTGCTCCTCCCTTAGAGTGTCCATAGCCTGTCCAGTCGCAGTCCCGGTTACAGCGCGCCTCCCCTCTACCTGCTTCTTCTCCCCACACTAGTCCTACTGGAGGTCTTGCTGAGCGTCGTGAGCCTGCGTCTCGTCCTGCGTCGCTTGTTCGTGCTGCTCGCACTAGTGGTCGTACTACGCGTCCGCGTCCTCCTGCGGTCCCCGGCACACACCAGATGGCGCTGCGTCCTTCCACTGCTCCTCTGCGTGTCCCGTTGCCGTCTCCTCCAGAGTCCTCTCTTCCTACTCTTGCTGACCCGGAGTCTGACTCTCTTCGTGCTGCTAGTCCTTCTGTCATGCGTCTCCTGGCTACTGTTATTACTGAACCTTCTTTTGGGTCCACTGCTGCGTCTGCCCTAGTTGCTGAGCTTGTCGACTTTGCTGCTCGCTGTCGTCTAGACTACGCTGCTAGTCTAGTTGCTTAGTCTGAGTCTGTCTGTCCTCCGTCCGTCGGGGGTGAGTGTGCTCTTAGCACGGACGTCCTTGAGGACAGGCAGGAGTAGTTCCAGTGCTTTGCTGCTGCTGTGCCCTATCTCGTGTCCACGCTGATTGCCCCTGAGGGAGACCCGGATGCACCAGACATCCCGACTCCTCGATCGTACGCTGAGGCGATCGAGGGTCCCTACTCCTCTCAGTGGCGGTCGGCCATGGACGCAGAGATGGCTTCGTGGAAGTCCACTGGCACCTACGTTGACGAGGTTCCCCCACCTGGGGCGAACATCGTCAGTGGCATGTGGATCTTCAGGGTGAAGTGGCCGCCGGGTTCTCCGCATGTCTTCAAGGCGCGTTACGTGGCTCGAGGCTTCAATCAGCGGCAAGGAGTTGACTACTTTCAAACCTTCTCTCCCACCCCGAAGATGACCACTCTTCGGGTGCTGCTACGCATAGCCGCTCAGCGCGACTACGAGCTTCACTCTCTTGACTTCAGCACGGCTTTCGTGCAGGGCAGCCTGCACGAGGAGATCTGGCTGCGCCGCCCACCTAGCTTCACTGGGTCGTTTCCTCCCGGTACCCAGTGGAGCCTTCGGCGGCCAGTCTACGGTCTCCGCCAGGCACCGCGTGAGTGGCACGACACACTGATGACTACACTTGCGGCTCTTGGGTTTGCTCCTTCTACAGCCGACCCGTCGCTGTTTCCGCGCACCGACACCTCTTTGCCGCCGTTCTACATCCTCGTGTACGTCGACGACTTGGTCTTTGCCACTGCTGACACTGCTGGACTCGCCCACGTGAAGTCCGAACTGCAGAAGAGACACACGTGCACAGACCTGGGTGAACTGCGCAGCCACCTTGGCTTGCAGATCACCCGGGACAGAGCACAGCGCACCATTACCCTGACTCAGTCACACATGGTGCAGCAGGTCCTTCAGCGCTTCGGCTTCACGTACTCCTCGCCTCAGGCCACTCCTCTGTCTACTCGCCACTCGCTCTCAGCTCCGCCTTCGGATGAGTCCGTAGAGCCGAGTGGCCCGTACCCAGAGCTTGTTGGCTGCCTCATGTACCTGATGACCTGCACACGACCTGACCTTGCATACCCTCTTAGCATCTTGGCGCGCTGTGTTGCTCCTGGGAGACACAGACCTGAGCACATGGCTGCAGCGAAGAGGGTGTTGCGCTACGTGTGCAGTATGTCGAGCATGGGGCTAGTGCTTGGAGTGCGACGTCGAGTGGTCCTCACATGTCACGCAGACGCTTCTTGGGCAGACGACCAGCCGACACAGCGGTTGTCATAGGGTTACACCTTCAGCCTTGGCTCCGGCTCTGTTTCGTGGCGGTCTACCCGCTCGTCTTCTGTTCTCACCTCCAGCTGTGAGGCTGAGATCTATGCGGGGGCCATGGCTGCACAAGAGTTACACTGGCTCACCTACCTGCTGACTGACCTAGGAGAGCCGCCTCGTTCTCCTCCAGTTCTGTACGTAGACAACAAGGCCATGCTGGCCTTGTGTCGGGAGCACAGAATGGAGCACAGAACGAAGCATATTGCTCTTCGCTACTTCCTGGCTCGTGAGCTGCAGCAGCGTGGTCAGCTCCGCCTCACCTACGTGGCCTCTGAGGCCAACACTGCTGATATCTTTACCAAGGCCCTTCCGCCTTGTGATCATCAGCGCTTCTGTGCTATGCTAGGTCTTGTGCCTACTTGGCCTCACTTGCTCACTTCTTGACCTTGTTTGTACTGTACTCTTTCTATACCTGCACTTGCTTGTTTACCTTTATATATATGATCTTGCATGTGAACTGGCCTTGTGGCCTTGCTCTTGTGCTCGGACTGTGTGGTGACGTTGTGATCAACCCTGAGCTTGCCTTGCTTTGCTTGACTGGTCTTGTGACCCCTTGTTCTCCCCCACTTTGCCTATGGGGGTGTGTCAGGCATATATGCTATAGTCTGTGTAGGCTGTAGTGGGGCAGTTCATTTGGGGTACAACACTTTAGGGTTTACTACTTGTACTCCTCATTCTGCTCAATGCATTCATTCCTCGTTTCTTATCACCCACACTCGGATTCAGAACACCTAGATTCTTTTCACGACCCCATACTGCCTTCCAACACCTTCAGCAAGAGCATGGTAGCAGCAAATATGTTTGCGAGTACAGAATAACCAAAGGAGCACCCAGTTCCACTACGAACCCCGCTCACAGCACACACGCCCACCTAACCCTTTCACCCACACACACCACCCAACCCCCCCCACACACATACCTCTCCCAGCAGCATCACCAAGCCTGAGCTACTAAGCAACCGATTTTGCAAACCGTGCCACAGTTGAAGCAGCAGCATTGACAGAAGGGACCTCAGCAACAGCAGAAGCACCAGCAGCAGAGGAGGCAACAGCAGCAGCAGGAGCAGCGTATGGAGTGCCTTGTCTGCCGCTGCAGAACCCCACTGCACCGTGCAGAAGCCCACTGCACCGAGCTGCTACCAGCAGCAGCAGGTACCATACCAGCTGCGCTGCTGCCCTGCCTGCCGCTACCCAACTCCACTCCGCCGTGCCTCTCACCCCTCCCATCTCCCATCTCCCATCCTCATCTCCCATCTCCCATCTCCCGCTTAGACCCCCTTCTTCATGGTCTTGAGGATGGAGCTACCGCCCGCCTGCAGAGCGCCCTTGGCGCCCTTGCCGGTGCTGCTGCCCGCGTTCGCCGAAGCCTTGAGCGGCTTCTTAGGCTTCCATACAAACGGCTTCCCAGCCATCTTCAAGCCTCCGTACCGCCGGTTCCTCTCCTTCAAATGCTCATTGAATGCCTTCATCCGCTCCCAGAACTCCGGGCCATGCAGCACCCTCACCTGCTGCATCTGCTCCTTCAACTGCTTCCAGCTCTGCAGCACCCGCACCGCCTCGTCCAGCCCGTCGTCCGTCACCTCCCCCGCCTCCTCCTCCTCCTCCTCCTCGCCACCCACGTGGTCCACGTGCGCACCGCTGCTCGCTTCCAGCAGCTTGCGGCCCAAACTCGCCACGTCCAAGCTTGCGCTCCCCTCAGCAGTTACGTCGCCCCGCTTTGGCGCGGATGCGGCATAGAGCGCGGGGAGAGAGACGAGGACCAGAGCGAGGATGAACACGGAGCGAAGAGTAGCCATGTTCAACGGTCGGGATGGATTCTAGAGAGTAGCACTGCGAGCGATGATGAGGATGAGATGATTTGGGTGATCTTCCGAGAACTGAGAGAAGAAACTCAGTCAGGTGATGGTGAATGGAGGAACGGAGGCAACTTAAGTACTAAGGAAAGACGTGGATGCGGATGCGAAAAACGTGGAGGCGAGGGTGGTGAAGGGAGAGCTTCAGTTACCGCCGCCATGATGGTACCGCTTCAGCAACTCGCGGGTATTGCTTGTACGGCGCCGCCGCACAACGCGCAACACGCGGGAAAAGATGGATCCGCACAGCGTAACATGCAGCGGAATTACTGCGACTGCGCTAGCATTGAGGATAGTACCACTGCCGTGTATTGCGCTGAACTCCGACTCGGAGTTGGACGGCAGCGCGGCAATAATAGCTGGCGGTTCATTTCATACTACGAGCCTCGCCAGATCGCCAGCTTGGTGTTTCCTGAGCTGTAGCTAGCGGGACTCCAATGGCGAGTCGTCTCCAATGACGAAACTGGAAGAGTTAGAGTCTGGTGGGGGGAGAACAGTCCGCCGTCTGTACTGTAGCGGCATTATCCTAGATCCCTCGTTCCAGCAGCTCGCAGTTATTGCCAGCATCATGGCTCCGCACAAGGCGGAGGGATGGATACAGACACTGGTTAGCACGACGTGGGCTGGTTGGGTTGGGTTGCTTTGGATTGGTTTGGGCTGGTTTGAGCTGGTTTGGTTGGGCTGAGAGCTCTAGGCGCAAGAAGGCTCCAGGGTAGGTGGCTGTGCGGCAATTATGTAGTTTGGTGGAAATGGAAATATAATCGAAGTCGTGTTACGAAATATGAGATAACACTATCTGTATCAACCCTATGCCAAGAAATTGCGACTACAAAAAAAAAAGAGTATGTTCGCCCCCCAAAAAACGGGCATCAGTCCAAGCTTCCGCTCCCTCCACAAGGGTGCATGAAGTGCACGGAGCTTGTTGAAGTCACTTGTAAGTAACGATTGCATTCCTAAGGTTATTAAATAGCTATGTAATGGCGATCTTAACGCCTTTCTGGCAGTCCTTGCCCACACTGCTGCCAAAGAAGAGTGTCTTGCTGGCATGGGCGGGCTTGACTTGGAAGAGCCGCATACCGAACTGCAAAGCGGAGGTGAGCGGCACGGCGTTGAAGAAGGAGCAGGTTTTGAAGGCACAGATGTTCTTCAAGCGCTGCACGTTGTGTGTCACTGCGAATCACTGGAAAACTAGAAGTGGGGAGGGGGAGAAGGGGGACAGAGGGCGGGGTGGTTTAGAAATGGGAGACATTTCAAACCCTGATGCAGATTGGAGGGAGAGGGTACAGGGAGTGGGCCGTAACAAGGCAGATATCTGGCCCAGGGGTGAAAGGGGGTTGCGAACATGAGCGTTGAAGAAGACGGTGTTGAACAAGGGCAGACATCTGGCCGTGAAGGGCCTTGAGTGAAGGCGAGGACGTTGTGGAAGCTCTTCATGTCGTGCGTTTTGGCGAACCACTGGAAGACTGGAGGGGTACGGGAAGGGGGAGCGGAGCGGCCATGGTTAGTGATGAGCGTCTCGAACCTTGAAGCGCTGCCCTTTGTGAGTTTTTCTGTGAAGGACTGGAAGACTGAAAGGGGGGAAAGTCAGGGGGGGAGGCAAGAAAGGAGCGTGAAGGCTGCTCGTCGTGAGTCTCCGTGAACTAATGGAAGACACAATGGGGGAGCAGGATGGGTGTGCTAACATATCTCAATTTGAGCAATATTATGCTAGAAACGTGAGGCACAATCAAGGATGGGGTGAAGTGAAGGAGGAAGGGTGGGTGTGCGGGTAGGAGCGCGAGATGGGGAGAGAAGTATAGATTGGGTAACACACACAGACCAGTGCATGGGTTTCCTCCCCACTCACTTGCTTCAGCCTCCCATTCAACTCTCCCATTCCACTCAACCCCTCCCATCCCAGCTATTCCTCACTCAACGAGAATGTCCCTGGCTTCACAGCAGGCAGCTTCCACAACTTGACTCCTCTACTCCAGTGGCTTCGGATTTGCTCGGTGCAGACTCCCATTTGTTTCAACCCACCCTGCTCACTCCCTTACCACTCAGCCACTGCTTACTCGCCAAGAGTGTCCCCTAGCATAACAGCAGGGGGCTTCCACAGGTTGACTCCCTTTTCATGTAGCTCCCATTCGTCTCATCCCACCCCGCTCACTCCCTACTCAACCACACTGCACTCACCAAGAATGTCCCCTGGTTTCACAGCAGGAGGCTTCCACAGGTTGACTCCCCCGCTCCAGTGGCTCACCGGGTTGCCCTGCAGGAACCCCACCATCACTGGCAGTGGCTGTGGGGGATGTGGGGAACAAGGACGGAGGGAGAAATGGGGTGCAAAGCGGTGAGGTGGGCTTCCACAGGTTCACTCTCCCGCTCTAGTGGCTCACAGGGTTGCATTGCAGAAATCCGACCATCACTGGCAGGAGCTGTTGGGGGGGGCTGGGAAAGGGGAAGAATGGGGAGAGTGGTGCAAACGGGTGAGGGGGGATTTCTCACCAGGCTGCCCTGCAGGAACCCGATCATCACTGGCAGGGGCTGTAAGAGAGGGAAGAGTGGGTTTGAGAGAAAGGAGCGGAGTCAGACGGATGTATAGGGGAATGCATGATAAGTGCACAGGGCAAGGTTCACTCAGAAAGCAAACGGAAGAGCGGTATATGGGAAGTGGATGCGAAGAGAGGTACCCGGGCAGTTTTTGGAAATAAAAGGAAGCGAAATCAGGTGTGAAATCAGCTTATTACTACAGTTTGTGAAGAGAGTGTCACTACGTTCAGTTTGTGAAGAGAATGTCACTGCGTTTCGGCTGCATTTGCAGAATTTGGTGAATGGATTCAATATAGGATACATGGACGATCGAGGGCAAGGAGAGTTTACCTGGGCGTACACAACACCTGCTCACAACACAGATAACAAGCTTACTTTTGAGTCGACTCAAAACACAACACATGCAAGGGGGAATGAAGGAAAAAGCAACTATGAGTGTGTGTCGCTTTCCATTCTAGCTGCCAGCGCTTGAATTAGCAACATTCAGGAGTGGAGGCTAGCTACTCCCAAGCCAAATGGAGTGTCAAGTGGCTATATGTGGAAATGACAAGCTTCTTCTTAGTAACAGCGAATCGCAGCTGCTTACTGGTCAAAATGGCGAGGGTGGTGGGTCGAAATGGCAACACCAGCAGCACCAGGTTTGCTTGACGCGGGATGAATTCTTCCTTCCACTCTTCACCTGAACTGACGGTGTGCGTGTGCAGGACAAATAGTGAGCCAGTTGTGGTGTGTGTGGTGAGTGCCTGGTGTGTGTGGTGAGTGCCTGGTGTATGTCACCTTAAGTTTCAGAACAGCAAGTTTCTTTTCATAACCCCATGCGACCTTTCAAAGCCTTCAGCAAATGCATGGTAGCAGCAGGTATATTTCAGCGATTACATGATAACCAAAGCAGCACCCAGATCCACTATCAACCCTGCACAGCACACCTAAGCCTTTCACCCACACACACACCATCTAACCCCTCCACCCCCCCCCCCCCCCCCCCCCCCCCCCAACACAATCACTCACACATACCTCTCCCACCAGCATCACCAAGCCTTCACTACTAAGCGACCAGTTCTGCAAACCGAGCCCGTTGCAAGCCACATCAGCAGCAGCAGACAGAAGGGACCGCCCGTTAACAGCAGAAGCACTGACCGCAGTGGAGGCATTACCAGCAGCTGAAGCAGCGTATGGAGTGCCTTGCCTGCCGCTGCAGAACCCCACTGCACCGAGCTGCTACACCACACCAGCTGCGCTGCTGCCCTGCCTGCCACTGCCCAACTCCACTCCGCCGTGCCTCTCACCCCTCCCATCTCCCATCTCCACTACCGCCCGCCTGCAGCGCGCGAAGCCTTGCGCGAGTCCATCCGGAGCGGCTTCACATACTTGCGCGGCTTCAAGACGCCTAAGTTCGGGTACCTCTTCAGGGGCTTCACACATTTGAGGCAATCATGCGAGTTCATCTGCTTGATCTTCTGCCAGCTCAGCAGCACCCTCACCGCCTCGTCCAGCCCGTCGCCCGAAGCCTTGAGCGGCTGCTCAAACTTCCAGACCGGCTTATGTGGCACATACTTCTTCAAGTTGCCTAAGTTCGGGTTCTGCTTCTTCATCCGCTCCCACACATCTGAAGCAAGCAGCACCCGCACCGCCTCGTCCAGCCCGTCCGTCACCTCCCGCACCTCCTCCTCCTCGCCACCCACGTGCACGTCCGCACCGCCGCTCGCTTCCAGCAGCTTGCGGCCCCAACTCGCCGCGTCCACGGCTGCGCTTCCCCCAGCAGTGACGTCGCCCCGCTGCTTTGGCGCAGCCGCGGCGTAGAGTGCGGGGACCAATGCGAGGATGAACACGGAGCGAAGAGTTGCCATTTTTTACTGCGAGAGTAGCAATGGATTCTCGAGAGTAGCACTGCGAGCGATAATGAGGATGAGATGATTTGGGTGAATTTTCGAGAACTGAGAGAAGACACTCAGTCGGGTGATGATGAATGGAGGAACGGAGGCAACTTAAGTACTAAGGAAAGACGTGGATGCGAAGGGCACGGAGGCGAGGGAGGTGGAGGGAGAGCTTAGTTGCCAAACATAATGGTACCGCTTTCTGCAGCTCGCGGGTATTGCTTGCAAGAGGCTCGCCGCACAACGCGCGACATGGGGGAGAATGTGGATCCGCAACGCGCAGCATGCGGCGGAAAAAGCGTGATCCGCACCGTGCGACATGCCGCGCAACTACTGTGTGTACGCGACCGCAGAGCTAGGCTACCACCGCATGGACTCCAAACCGGATTTGGACGGCAGCGCGGCAATAATGGATGGCGATCCAGTCGTACTTAGAACCTCGCCAGATCGCCAGCTTAGTAATTGTCGAGAGGTGTGACTTGCGAGACTCGTTCCCAAATGACGTAACTGGACGACAGAGAGCAGATCGCTGTCTCTTACACCTGTCGCTCGCATATTTCCAGTAATGGTATGGGGCCGCGCGATACCCACAGATTTGGCGAGGGGTTGGTATGGCACGCCAGTAACGAGGACACGCGCTTTTACACACCCTGTGGTTTGGTTTGGGTTGGTCTCGTTTAGCTTAGGTCGTGATGGTTTTTTGTTCGGTTGGGCTGGGTTTGCTGGGCTGAGTGAAAGAATGGGCTGAGCTGAATGGCAGTCCAGCAACAATCACACTTGGTGAGATAATTCAGGAGCGTGTTCCGAAATATGCATAATTCTTGTATCACTCTATTAAATATGATATGGTATTCGCCAAGAACGGGGCACTTGGAAAAAAAAAATCCGTCTACCCCCAAAGATTGGGTATCAAGCCAAGATTCAGGTCCCTCTACAAGGGTGTATGCACTGCAAAGAGATTCTTAATATTCACCAAGCATGATCATGGAACAATGCCTCTACTTGACTGGAGTACCTAGCATTTACATACACCTGGCTGGCATTCCTTGCCTACACTGCTGCCAAAGAAGAGTGACTTGCCAGCATGTTCGGGCTTGACTTAAACGAGGCGCATGCAAGAGATGTGAGAGCTACCCCTAGCTGACAGGAATGGCGATCTTGACGCCTCGCTGGCAGTCCTTACCCACACTGCTGCCAAAGAAGAGTGTTTTGCCGGCATGGGCGGGCTTAACTTGAAAGAGACGCATGCCGAACTGCGAGGCAGATGTGAGCGGCACGGCATTGAAGAAGGCGCAGGTTTTGAAGGCAAATATATTCTTGAAGCGCTGCACGTCGTGCGTCTCTGCGAACCACTGGAAGACTGGAGATGGGTGAAGACAGAATGTGTGGCACAGATTAAGACAGGAAACGCACGTTTTGAGATTCCCAGAGCTCGAAGGCTGCACATCTCTAGTCTCTGTGAACCATTAACAGACTGAAAAAGGGGAGGTGGGGGAAGGGTGGGTAGGCTGATTGAAATATCTCAACTTGAGCATTACTAGACTGGAATGGGACACACTTTGCATGGGGTGAAGGAGTGGGGATAAAGGTGCCGGTGGGAGCGAGGGAGTGGCTGGGCTGGGAGCAAGTATAACCTGGGTGACACCCACAGTCCAGAGCGGTAAATTCCTCCCCTCTCAATAGGTTCAGCCTAAGCGCACCCTACCAGGCTCCCATTCAACTCACACCCACCCCACTCACCCACTCCAGCCCAGCCACTCCTCACTCACCAAGAATGTCCCCTGGCTTCACAGCAGGCGGCTTCCACAGGTTCACTCCCCCACTCCAGTGGCTCACTGGGTTGCCCTGCAGGAACCCGACCATCACTGGCAGCGGCTGTGGGGGATGTGGAAAGGCAAGGACGGAGGGGGATATGTGGTGCAAAGCGGTGAGGAGGGTTTCTATAGGTTCACTCTACCGCTCCTAGGGTTGCATTGCAGGAACCCGGCCATTACTGGCGAGGGCTGTTGGGGGGATTGGAAAAGGGAAAGAACGGGGAAAGGGATGCAAGGGGATGAGGGGCAATCCCGTTAGGTGACTATCCTGATCTAGTGGCTCACCGGAAACCCGACCTTAACAGGCAAGTGTCGTGAGGAAAGGAAGAAAGGGTGTGAAAGCAAGGCATGGCGTGAGAGGGATGTACCGGGAATAAAAATGCAATAAGAAGTGCACTGGGCAAGGTCCGCTCGAAAAGCATAAGAAGGAGTGGTAAATGGGGTACATGGAAAGTTCATAGAAAGGGGCACAAGCGCAATCAGGTGTGAAGTCAGTTCAATTAAACAGTTTGCGAAAAGTGTAACTGGGCTAGGGGTGTATTTGCAGAATATGGTAAGTTGAGTCAAGAAAGTAGCATGAGATGATGCACAACACATGGGGAATCGAGAGCTAGTGGAATTTACCTGGGTGTACACAACACCTGCACACATGACAAATAATAGAACACAGGGAAAGGAAGAATGAAGGACAGTATTTTTTTGGTAAGCTTTTCAGCTAGGACACCAAGAAAACAAGGCCAGATGTTTGCAAGAGAAGGCGTTGGTGAAAAGTATAAATGACAGTGAATGTCAGGTGCTTACCGGTGAAGGTTGCTGCGAGAAGCAGCAGAAGCAGAGGGGTCATCCCAGCCGTCCGTGCAGACGCCATGGTGTGAGCGACACCCTGAGGGACACCCTGAGGGACGCCCTGAGGGACACCCTGAGGGACACCCTAGCCTCTCTCTGAGCAACACCCTGAGCGAGACCCGGAGATGCGGTTTCGAAGGCTATAGACCAGCAACGACGCCGTGCAGTTCTGGTGGTGCAAATCCGCGGCTTCACCTGCTCTCCAGGCGGTCAGCGTCAATAACGTTACCTAGAGCCTGGAATCCGTTAAGTTTCACCTCAACTTTTGAAGGAATGGTGCGTGTGCAGGTGGGGGAATGGTGCGCCGTGTCAGCTACCAATCGGTGAAACGGCTTTTCCTTTCTGGAAGTTTGATGGTCCAAAGAATGATGATGATCACTACGGAAAGGAGTGCAGAGGAAGCCGATACTACTCAGTGGGTATTGATTTATCACCCGAACCTGTGTATGAATGACTGGTGCGCCTGTTTATACCCATCGAGCATACCATAGTAACCGTGACCGCTTCGAATTTTGCCGCTTGCACGGAAAGAGTGAGGGAGAACGAGTGAGGTTGAACGTTTTGGCAGCACAGCGCGCGCCGCGGCGCATTTCAACACCTCTACAGCCAATGCTGCGACTGCGGCACGCACGGTGGCTCGCTTTGAAAGGGCAACGATTCCATTTGAGAGCCGACCGGGACCAGACCCTGTTTCGCATTCGTCATTGCGGGCACGTGCGAGTGAGAGGGTGTGCCGGACGGTGAGGTGTTGCTGTGCTCCAGGACAAGAATGCGTGTACTGTACCTCGGTATGTCTAACTGTAACTAAAACCGACGGTAACATCTCCGCGCACATTCCGGCGGAAACAGCCACCAGTTTTACTACCCGGAGGTAGCTTGTCTATTAGATGGGGTCGGTCAGTGTAGCTGTATCAATTTGTTCATCCAAGAAGGCCTTCTCGCGAATTGCGGCCGACCAAGTCAAACTTCAGAAGAGCTTCGCAGAGCAGAATCTGACGGTTGGATTTGGAAAAGTGAGGCGTGGCGGCGAATGGTGTGTGAGGGGATGGAAAGCTAAACGTGGCGGAGAACGCACAGAAAATGAGTTCCGAGAATGCCGAGACGATGGCGTTGAAAACTGGGATGTGAAGGAAGAAAACGATGTCCAACGGGAGGCTGCAAGCTCCAAGCTTTTCCATCTTCCGTGAATTGGGATTGGTCAGACGGAGAGCTCGAATTCAAACTCGAAACTTCCAAGGTTTACCGCCTTTATTTATTATCGCTGGAAGCCACACCGTTTAGAATAAATTATCTTCATTCCGTATCACACGCATATGACAAGAAAAGTAGTAAATGACGCTGGTTCTAACCATCATGTCAAAGTCGTATTATTTACAATTGTTGGACAGACGTAGTATTTCTGGCTCCTGATTTTTTGTTTCCGCTTGAATCAAGTGTCTGACTGCCTTGACCATTATGGCTGCTAGAACCTGCCCCACTATCATGACAATCACCACTACTCGATGGATATTCAGAATGGCCGGAAACTTCTTGACTGAACTTACTCGCTTCAACACCACCTTCAGCAGCCACATCCCCATCAATCCTGCGAATCTCCTCCATCTCACAGTCAAACTCCAGCCCTGCCACTTCCAGCTCCTCACAGAGCCCCTCATAGCTGCGTGTCACGGCACTTAGCTGATTCCGCAGATGCTCCATCTCCATCCTTAGGCTGGGAGCTGAACCAATCAGGGAGACAGAGGGGAAGAATGCAGCCAATGAGAGCTCTTTCAACCTCGCATCCCTTCAGAGCTGCATCAGATGTCTTGTGGTGACTTTTGAGTCGACTCAAAAGTCATTTGGTGTTTGCATGCAATACTTCAACGATCTTTACACAAGGAGCTACCGCAAACGCGGGAGAGCGAAAGTACTGAACCCACCTGCTCTCAGGTACTGAACCCACCTGCTCTCAGGTGCTGAACCCACCTGCTCTCAGGTGCTGCACCCACCTGCTCTCAGGTGCTGAACCCACCTGCTCTCAGGTGCTGAACCCACCTGCCCTCAGGTGCTGCAAGTTGCACTTTACAACGCTGCTTGTCCAGTTCATTCGCTTGACACCTTCCCCGCCAGTGCCCCCACCACTACCCGCACGAGTGTCGATGATGTTACTTGCCTGCACTCAAAGGCTGAACCTACATGCTCTTAAGTGCTGCAGGTTGCTCTTCACAACGCTGCTGGTCCAGTTCACCCACTTGTACAACTCCCCCGCAGTGCCTTTACCACTCCAATTTGCAGGTCAGCAGGTGCCCCCACTCCCAGATACAACCCCTCTAGTTTCACCCTTACCCGCCCGTAAGTGTTGGAGATTGCTCTTCACGACACTGCTCCTCCAGTTCGTTCGCTTGTACACCTTCCCCGCCAGTGCTGCTGCTTACACGACCTGCCAAAGCGCCTCAATACACGACAAAGTACTTGCCTGCCCTCAAGTGCTGCAGGTTGCTCTTCACAACGCTGCTGGTCCAGTTCATGCGCTTGTACACCTTCCCTGCCAGTGCTTCCACCGCCTCCATGCGACTCATCAGCTCCTGCTGGTTACCACACACCCTCCCTGCCACGTCAGCATGCCACTGCTCGTACCCCGCCAGCACAGCGGCTGACGCGGCGCTTTGATCTTTCAAATCACGCACTGCCACGGTTGCAAAGGAAGGTGGATGAGGAAGGAGGTGGGTGGCAGGAGTGGGCAGGACGAGGGGGCAGGGAAAGAAGAGGGGGGGGGGAAGGGGTGAAAGGGCGGAGGGGAAATGTGAGGGGGAGGGAAATGTGTAGGTTGTGAGAATGGAGTGGCAAACTACACATGGCAAATGCACAAGGACTAGTAATGGGAGAATTATGTCTGCCTGCTCAATGAGACAGAAATATGCAACCTGCAATGGGAGACACAACTTCCAAGACCTGTATCAAGAGTATTTTGGTATGGGCTATTTGAGTCAACTCTTGAGAATCAAAAAGCCGCAGCCACGTGACCATGTAACCGTGTCACCAGCACTCCCATCCCATGTCTCACCTATTCTCTGCACATGTGCTGCCATCTGCTCTTCTCCACTGGCGGCTGTGGCTGCACCAAGTGGTCCCTCCTGCATACCATGCCTGCTGGCAGTGGTAGTGGTGGCGGCAACAGCACGTGCCTCAGCATCACCAGCAGCAGCTCTCCCAGAAGCTGTAGCAGCTGTAGCGGCTGTAGCAGTGGAAGCAGGGGATGTGGAGTTTGCAGCGGAGGCAGCACCACCAGTGGTATTAGCAGCAGCAGCGGCAGCAGTGGCGGCAGCGGCAGGGAGGTGGGTGTTGGTGTGGGCTGCCTGGAGGAGAAAAGGGGTGAGCTGCTGCAGCAGCGGAACGCTCTGCACCAACAAGGGGTGGTGAGAGGGGGAAAGGGGGATAGACTTTTGAGTCGACTCAAAAGTCACCTCGGTGTGGACTGCTTGAAGGAGCTAAGGGGTGAGCTGCTGCAGCAGCGGAACGCTCTGCACCAACAAGGGGGGATGGAGGTGGAAAGGGGGGATAGGAGAGGGAAGGATCAGGGGAAGGTTGAATGCACTTGAACCTTCAACCTACTGCACTTGAACCTTCAACCTACTGCACTTGAACCTTCAACCTACTGCACTTGAACCTTCAACCTACTGCACTTGAACCTTCAACCTACTGCACTTGAACCTTCAACCTACTGCACTTGAACCTTCAACCTACTGCACTTGAACCTTCAACCTACTGCACTTGAACCTTCAACCTACTGCACTTGAACCTTCAACCTACTGCACTTGAACCTTCAACCTACTGCACTTGAACCTTCAACCTACTGCACTTGAACCTTCAACCTACTGCACTTGAACCTTCAACCTACTGCACTTGAACCTTCAACCTACTGCACTTGAACCTTCAACCTACTGCACTTGAACCTTCAACCTACTGCACTTCTCGAAATCAAAATATTTCACAACTTCACCTTTGCACAGGTTTAAAGATCGCAAAGAGATAAGCTGCTGCAGTAATGGAACACTCTGAGTAGGGTAGGGGTCTCACTCTGCGGTGATTTACTTCAACTCTCATTCCCCTTCCTCCTTACGACCCTTCCCATTCCCCTGCTGACTCCCTTCCCACACCCCAATACCCATCTAAATGCCCACACTCTCTGCGAGCATTCTTCCTTTCTCTCCAACCTTCCCCCAATAGCACCGCTTCCAACCCCACCCCAGCGCTTCAAGTTTCAACAATACTCACTCAAACCGAATCACTTTAGGACGACTCAAGGCCTTCCATCCTTCCCCACTACTCCCACAACACTTGCAACTCGACTTTCGAGTCGAATCAACTAACTGCATCCCTATCACCCTTCGCACCTTTCTTTTCCACCACCCCCCACCCCTCCCCACCCCTCCCCACCCACCCTCCCAGTTCTTCCCTGCCACCCCTACAAGTATCCCCCCGTTGTGCACTCACCACTCTACCCCTCTACCACACTACACTATCCCCACCACCCCCACCACCCCCACCACCTCCCGCACCGCCCACCACCACCCACCATCCCTCACCATTTCCCACCATCCCCTCCTTCCCCCCCCCCTGCACCACCTGTCGCAGCGCTCTCAGTCGTTGCAAAGACTCGTCCTCCTCCTCTTCCACCTCCCCTTCTCCCGATCCCCCACTACCCGCCACTACCCCTCACCACTCCCCCACCTCCCCCCACCACCTGCCGCAGCGCTCTCAGTCGTTGCAAAGACTCGTCCTCCTCCTCCGCCCCTTCCCCCGCCGACACCACCGTGATGACGTCAGCCCCGCCGGCCTGAAGCGCGTGACGTGGGACGCGCGGAGGAGGCGGGGGGGCCCGGGGAGGGGGAAGGAGGAGGGGGAAGGGGGGTTGGGGGGGGGGGGAGGGGAGGAGGGAACAGGGGGTGACGGGGGCAGTGGGAAGAGGAGAATGGAAACCAGGGTTGGCGGGAGGGCGAGTAAGTGGGGTACCAGATGGGGAGGTGGAGAGGAAGCGGGGACCGGGGGAGGGGGAAGGAGGGAGGGGTGGTGGGAGGGGAAGGGAGCAGGGAGACAAGGAGTCGGGGCGAATCTCAAAAGCGACAAGATGGAGGCGAAGGTCAGCGAATCGCCTCGACTCACCTTGAATCGCCTCGCGTCACCTCATTAGGCGCATAGAGGAGGAGACTAGAGACGGCATGTTTCTACTTTCTGGAAACTCGAGCAGCTCAGGTTCAGGCGACGCGCTCTTATAAGCTATCCACATAACTGCGTATAAATGCGTGACGCAGCAGGCGCATGCTTCCATTAGCGCGTGACTCTAAAAGTGCGTGATTTGACTGAGAATTTAGGGACTCGCCTGGCGAACGCGGCTTGCAGCAGCTCCCATGGAAGTCGACGAGGAGCGGCGAGATAAGGGTGTCTAAATTAGACGTCTCGTGAAATTTGAAAATAAAGACCGAGTCCAAGTGACATTAGTTCGCGAGAATCATGAGAGCAAAAGCACCTACACCCTCTTTCTCGCCATTGTGAATTCGGTTATAGTGAAGTCAAGATGGGAAAAGCACGGTTAACGGTGGTTAGATTAAGTCTAGGTATGGTTCAATCAGACAAATCGAAGGTAACTAGGTTTTCCATCAGTTCAGCACAGTTCAGTGTAGTGAGAAAGAGGGTGTAGATGTTGCCGTTCGAGCTTTCACCGCACTATACCACTCCTCACTGCAAACCGCTTCTCATTTTGTTCAGACGCTGAGTAAAAAACTGGCGCCGTTCGCTTTACAAGGACTCGGTATCCGAAAGTTTTAGTATTATATAATCATATGACCGCAATACAAAAAGTAGATACTTGCATTGCATATTACGCAATTCTAGAATAGCATGCTACATAACATAGAAGTTATAAGCCGGTATATATTGGGAGACTACTAGTCCCTTATTCTGCTCTTGTACTTGCTCGTTGGCTACCTGAGTTGGCAAGTCTCGGTTGGCCAGTAAGTGCAGCAACATCAGCGCACCCTCACTTGAGCTTTCAACCCCTTGGCACATTCCTTCTGGACGCTGCTCCCAAAATAGAGTATTTTTCCGCGCTCTGATTTTTGAACCCAGTACACATCCAAACCAAAGAACCGCCTCGGCCCCACCGGGTCTGCTCTGGAGAAATCGCAGCTGTCAAACGCCTGCTTGTTTGGGAACTGCTGCACATCTCTCATCTGGCCGAACCAGCGGAACACTGAAAGGAACACAAGGTGGGGTTTGGGTTTGGGATGAGAAATGAGGGCTTTGGGAGAGTGGGATTTGGTAGCGGGGTAAGGGATGACGGAAACGGGGGATATGGACGGGTGGGAGTTGAGAGGGTGGCAGGGAGAGGGGAGAGGGGGAAAGTGGGGGAGATGAAATAGGAAGACGGGGGTGAGCAGGAGTGATGGGAGGGGTTGGGTGAAGCGGGGGGGAGTGGAAACAGTACGGAAAGCACGGGTGGAAGGGAGGGCGGAAAGAAGGGGTTGGGGGAAAGGGATGTGAAACGGGGTGGTTTGCAATGGCACAAGGTGAGGCAGCGGCTGAGAGGGGGCATTCAAACGCAGCAGTCTTTGTTGGATGTAGAGATGTGTATGAGTAAAGACTCGCTGTTGATTCTCATTGACTTCTCGTTGACCCCAATGACTCATCGTTGACTCCCACTGACGCATTGTTGCCTTCTGTCAAGTCATCGCTGACTCCCGTTAACTCATGTTGACTCACGTTGACTCATATGTGACTGAGCGACCTCACAAACAAATCCTCCAATCATCACTTCTCTAGTTCCCAGGCGAGCCTCCCCCGTTCCTCCTTCCTCCACGGGATCCACGACGCACGAACCCAGCTTCAGACCACCCATAATCGCCCTCATTGACTGCCGTTGACTCTCGTTGACTCACAGAGGAAATCTCCCGGTCGCACGGCGGGCATCTTCAAGTCGAGCAGCCCCTTGCTCCACGGGTTCACGTTCGACCGACCCGACTCCAGGCCTATCACCACCACTCGAGGCTGGAGAAGTAGAGGCGGGGAGAGTAGCGGAGACAATCGGATATTAGAGGAGAGAAATGGAGAGGGGGCCGGAGCGAGGCGGGGTTGAGGTGGTGGTGGAGACTTGGCTGGGTTCTAAGGTTTGGCGGATTGGCTGAGCTGCTTGTGACAGACGATGAGCTTCTCACAGGAGATACACAGTTCAATCGGAAACAAATGCAAGCAAAGGCGAATGCATGCGGGTAAGAGAGTCCAGACAGGTCCTCTGCACCCCAGCTGGCAGAAGCCGGAGAAGCTTTTGAGACTACTCAAAAGCGACTCAGACTCCAGACAAGGACTGCTGCAGCCCAACTGACGGAAATTAAGCAAGTATTCTAAGAGATTTCCGACAGCAGCGCGTTGAAGAAGTTTTTCTTACCAATGCTTCTGTGACGCCTGATGACCCGCAGAGAACGAGAAGCGCGCCGAGTAGACCGCCCAATTATCGTAGAGCGGTTGGGAGAGGTTCAAGTGTTCGACGATGCGGAAGGCGATGATGTTTCAGCAATGGCCCGGGGATGGTTCGGCGACGCGCGGAGGCGAGTTTCATGTGAGGATGGGAGGAGAGGGGGATGCGAGTGGAAGAAGCGAGGTAAAAAAGAATGAGAGGTAAGGAGACGAGAGACAAGGGGAATGACAGCTCCAAAGAGGAGCACTGGAAAAAGGAACGAACAGAAGCACCTTCTTCTTTTACAAAGAAGTCGCAAAGATTTAGAAGATTGGGGACATAGGGGGAAAGCAACTGAGGGTTGAAATTTTAGACGAGTTGAGGAGGTAACGGCTGAGAAGCTGAGTTTTGACTATTTTTTAAAGGCTGCTGGTGAGTCAACTCAAACGAAATTTCGGTTGCAGAGCCCGCTACATTTAGCCTTTTACCGGCCGTGACAAGTAGCAGAAGCAGGACCGAAGAAACGAACAGCTTTCCCGAAGCTCCTCCTTCGCTGCCTTTCCAAAGAAGATGCATCGCGAAGAATGTTGTGTATTATGAAACCTCCACTCGTTTGGTCCCAGCGCAGTAAACGAGGCGTTCCTTATTGGCGTTTTCTTTGTTTCCGCAACGTAAACGAGGCACGACGTTCAGCGCAGTAAGCTCCCCACTGATTTCTTTCTGAGTCGCTTTCTAGCAAAAGGGAAGGGAAAACGAGAGGGGAAGGCGTGCTATGGTCTGGATGCAAGCGTCGCGCAACTGCACGTGTATACGGTAAGATCGCCGAGCCGAGGGTCTAACTAGCAACAGATTCACTGCTGCCGCCGATCGGTGAGGGACGACGGCATGGGTGGTCGCTGTAAGTTCTTTGCTGGACCAAAACTCGACCGCTGGTGGGGGAATATGCAAAGATAATTTCGCGGGTACCAACTTGCAAGTAGGAAAAGACATGTTCCGTGGATTCCAATTTTGATGCTCGATGGAGGTTGTGGGGCGGCTCGATTTGGTCGAACCGCCTTGGCTTGCCTCTGTTTTTCTCAGGATGTTTGACCGTTGATGCATCAATGCACTTCACGAATCTCCGCTGTTGTGTGAGCCAACGATTGTAAATGCGTAATGTAAATTAGTTAGGATGATACATGGGAGCCTCATATTTTTGCAAACAATAGCACACATGTATTTCTTAGATAAATCTAAAAAAACTATGAGAAATTCGAATGATGCTTAACCTCTTTCGAAAAGCTTACCCATTTCGGGATTTTAGAAAGCCAAACCAGGGCATTGGTAACGAGGTGTATAATCTTCGTAAATTCTGGTGTGATTGTACCGAGGTTGAGGTTGGGTGGAAATGTAGGTGCATCCTTTCCATCGCAATCTTGCCGTCTCGTTATAACCAGAAATGGCGGTCAGTAGCAGCGGAAATGCCGGTGTGCTTGTGCTGCTTCGCCAAGTATCGAGATTGCGACTTTCGTTCAATATTTGACGTGAAGCTAGAATGTTGAAGTATCCCGAGCTAATGCCGACAACCAGCCATTTCCGCATTTTTACGAATGGATAGAATAGCTGTCTGCAAAAGTTGGCATTGCTAACTGTCGCTTCGAGATTCGTATCTTCTACTTGTCAGTTTCCCGGAGCAATCACACAAATCTCCGCATTTCAGGCATTCGTTTCGTTTTACAACCGCTAGCTCGTTCGCTTAGGCATGACCTGACTGATACAAGCGGCACTGCCAGTGTACCGTTTCCAGAGTTATTCATCAGTTGACCATTCGCGCATTGCATCCCCAATGTCGTTCTCCTTAACCTCCTTCCTCTACGGCCCGAACCTGTTCCCTTGTCCTTAGTCGGGATAGGGCATTATCCTTCTCGTCAAACTAAGTTCAGGAACATACACATTCCTTTCTTTCATGATTACGGTTACATATTCGTTCGTAATTGCGCTTCTTCCATTCCCTACGACATAGTCCACCATGTCGTCACCGCCAGCCATTCGATTCGCGGCCCGTCGCTTCCAAATCGCCTTTCTCCTACCTCTCCTTCTCACCGTCGCTACAGCCGCCTCTCACGTCTCGCAACGTCTAGTAGATTCCTATAACGGGGGATGGGAAGGAGAACTAGGGTTACCAGATGCAGGAGGTGTACTAGCGGATGATTCTGCGTTTCAGGTGTCGTCTAACGGCGTGACTCGCGCCGTGTTTCACGGCCGGCGCGCGCTGCTGCAAGCGCCGGCACCGGCCTCAGAGCCTCCGCTCTCCGATACCGCGGATCCCTCCGCCTCCGCTCCCGCATCCTCCGCGCCCTTAACCCCTGCTTCCGCTCCCGCTTCCGCCTCTCCTTCCGCTCCCCCTTCCGCCTCCCCAGCTGCTCCGCCTTCCGCCTCCCCTTCCGCTCCTTCCGCCCAGCCCTCCTCCCCATCCCCTGGGGGGGCCTCAAGCGGGACCCCCCTAACGACCCCCGCGGCTCCCACTCCCCCGTCTGGCGCAGGCGGGGGGAACGGGGGGAATGTGGGGGATGGGGGGGCAACGTTCGACATGCCGGGACCTGTGTGCGAGGGGCAGTGCTGCTCCAATGCGGCCCCGATAATCCCGGACGGGATGCCCAAGATGACGTCATCGTGGCTCAGCAGCCAGCTGGCGCACGGCGCTAAGGTGTGTGGGGAGTGAGGGGAGAGGGGGAATGGGGGCGAGAGGGAAGAGCGGGAATGGGAGAGAGAGGAAAGACTGGGAGAGAGGGAATTGGGGAATAAGAAAAGAGTTTCAGTTGGAAAGTAGAGAAGAGGGTGAATGAAAAGGGAGGGAAGATGTGAATGGGAAAGGAGGGGAAAGAGGATGAGAGGGTGATAAAGGAAACAGGGTAAATCGGGGAGGACAGTGCGAGGGCAAGTGGAGTGTGGAGGAGAGAGAAGAAGGTATATGGAGGGTGAGTGGATAGAAGGGATAAGAATCTTGTGGTTCATTACCCTGTGTCACACAAGGCCACATTACCCTGTGTCACACAAGGCCACATTACCCTGTGTCGCACAAGGCCACATTACCCTGTGTCACACAAGGCCACATTACCCTGTGTCACACAAGGCCACATTACCCTGTGTCACACAAGGCCACATTACCCTGTGTCACACAAGGCCACATTACCCTGTGTCACACAAGGCCACATTACCCTGTGTCACACAAGGCCACATTACCCTGTGTCGCACAAGGCCACATTACCCTGTGTCACACAAGGCCACATTACCCTGTGTCACACAAGGCCACATTACCCTGTGTCGCACAAGGCCACATTACCCTGTGTCACACAAGGCCACATTACCCTGTGTCACACAAGGCCACATTACCCTGTGTCGCACAAGGCCACATTACCCTGTGTCACACAAGGCCACATTACCCTGTGTCACACAAGGCCACATTACCCTGTGTCACACAAGGCCACATTACCCTGTGTCGCACAAGGCCACATCACCCTGTGTCACACAAGGCCACATTACCCTGTGTCGCACAAGGCCACATTACCCTGTGTCGCACAAGGCCACATTACCCTGTGTCACACAAGGCCACATTACCCTGTGTCACACAAGGCCACATTACCCTGTGTCACACAAGGCCACATTACCCTGTGTCGCACAAGGCCACATTACCCTGTGTCACACAAGGCCACATTACCCTGTGTCACACAAGGCCACATTACCCTGTGTCGCACAAGGCCACATTACCCTGTGTCGCACAAGGCCACATTACCCTGTGTCACACAAGGCCACATTACCCTGTGTCACACAAGGCCACATTACCCTGTGTCGCACAAGGCCACATTACCCTGTGTCACACAAGGCCACATTACCCTGTGTCGCACAAGGCCACATTACCCTGTGTCGCACAAGGCCACATTACCCTGTGTCACACAAGGCCACATTACCCTGTGTCGCACAAGGCCACATTACCCTGTGTCGCACAAGGCCACATTACCCTGTGTCGCACAAGGCCGCATTACCCTGTGTCACACAAGGCCACATTACCTTGTGGTTCATGTCTCGGTTGGTTGGTTCGTGTAGGGTGGAACAAATGACCACCTCTCCTCCCACACTCTCTTTGCTCCCCTTCCTCCCACTGCCCAACACCCCGTCACACTTCTCCCCCCCCTCAGATCCACGTGCCACACCAGGGCCATGTTTTGAGTCCACTCAAAACACGACCCAATCCACGTGCGCCACCAGGGCCGCAGCTTCTGGTGGCGAGCTGCACATGAATCGACCAAACACAGGCCTCCTCCCTCCCCCCCGCTCACCCCACCTCGTCCGATCCCCCCCCGCCCTCCTTCCCCCCAGATCCACGTGCGGCATCAGAGCAGCGGCTTCTGGTGGCGAGCAGCAGTTGAGTCGAGTCGTCCCAACGCAACGCTTTTCCAAGTCTCCCT